GATAGATAGATAGATAGATAGATAGATAGATAGATAGATAGATAGATAGATAGATAGATAGATAGATAGATAGATAGATAGATAGATAGATAGATATTTGTGTTTTATTTTTTATTTTTGTGGACAGCTGATTGTCCCACATTCTTTTTTATGTTCACGTGTATTAGAACATGTCAGCTCACCAGGTAGGTGATAAATTTGATGAATCCTCTGAACGACTCATCTGCAGGACTGACTGTGAGCTTCACGGACAGTCTTTCTCCTAAAGACACTGTGGTAGTTCCTGTGGAGACATGCAGGTAGTTCTTTTCATGGTCATGGGTGCTGTAGGAATAAACAGTGAACTGCTGCTTTGCCTGCTGCTCTGGTCTCAAGCCATCCTGTGCTGTTTCAGCCTGCAAAAGAGGAACAAACAAGTAGAAAAGAAAAAAGTATTAAACTAAGACCAATACCTGTAGCTAGAAATGTAACTAACTTATTAGCCTTCATGACTTTAAATAAAAAAAAATAGATCACACACACAGGTAGAATCAGTGAGGTAGAACAGTCATACTAACAATGATGGTTTGTGGTTGATCATTCTTGGGCATGTTGATGGCAGCTCTGGTGGTTCCGGAGGGCACGAATAATGGGGTGTCCAGCAAGTTCAGCTTAACCAGGACGTTACGAGCCATGGAACCATCATGGTGGCTCACCTGAATCTGGAAAAGATTGCTCTATCTTTTTAGATGCTCACTACAATATTTATTTGAACTTCAATAATTAATTCAAATAGAATGAAAATGCAGAGAATGACCCTTACTGTGAAGTCAAAAGGCAGGCCTGGCTTGAAGTACTTTGGTATGTTTTGGAACAATAAGACGTAGGGAGATTCCACAATTTTAATGCCAGACTTCTCGGCCTCAACCAGATCACTTCCTGTAATGATCATCAAACAATCCAAAAAATATATATATAAATAACCACTGACGTAATTAATGTTGTGAACAGATAATCTAGCCTGCATCAGACTAGTGACATGTCCAGGGTGTACCCCACCTCTCACTCTATGATAGCTGGTTCTAGCCCCCCTACGCCCCTGATAAGAATTAGTAAAAGAGAAAGGATAGATGCATGGTGGAACACAGAATCAAAAGGTTCTTGGAGAAAAGAGTTCTGTGCAGTGTGGAGGTGCACTAAAGGTGAACCATTTCATGTCCATTTTCAGTTATTGTTGCTTGAGCTGTTAGTTAGTACTGCAGCAGATAAACAGGATTTTGCTTTTCAGCATTTTAACTGTTTCCCCCCAGCAGCAGCAACATGACCTACATTTCCAAATAATATGATACTAAAGAGAGTCAAAGGTTTTGATTACTTTGGTTTATCCAGAATGCTAAAGGGCATGTTGATACAATTCAGAGCGTAAGTTGCGTCAGTTTGGAGTTTCACAGCAGACATTATTGATCCTGGCGAGCAGTGGTTAATTACAACACACCGGAGAGTTTGATCTTACTAGGCTATCAGAAAAGGAGCAAGGCAAAGTTGACAAGCTGATCATCAACTAATGTGAGTAGATAAAGCAGTTACAAAGCCAACTTAACACCATGTCCAAAATTCTGAGTTAGTTGCATTAGAAAGCACACGAAATTAATCTGCTCATTTACAGCACATTTTATCGTTGTGTTAGATTTGCAGGATTTTAAATGTGCTTATTTTTATTTAGTTATTTATTTATTTATTTATTGTTTTATTTATTTGTGGTTCAAAATGTTGACTTTCTTTAGTTTGTCTGAAATTCTGGCTCACACTTCATGTTTACCTGTCTTGGTGAGCACAGAGGCCTTGACATACACAGAGTTCCCGATCAAAGATCGAATGTTGGGGTAAGCACTTTTGATCTCCTCCATGCTCAGTGTAACAGTTCCACCATCAAGCTGCATGAAGAGAAACAGTCATGACAACACATTTAGCAGCTATAAAGGCCATTTAGCCTACCCAGTATGTAAAATTATTAATATAAACTCTTGGCTCAAGCACCTCTTTACAGCCACTATGCTTTATGAAGACATTTGGCAAGGATGCTTCATCAGCAAGCTATTGTCTGTACACAGAGTACGCAAACTTCATACATCAAAGAAATATTTGAAATTTAGTTGAAGCAAAGACTTTGGTGGTTTCTTTGTTTGTTTGGGGGGGGGG